TTCAGCTGTTCCACCTCTGACCCAGCTCCCTGCTAATGCACTTAGAAGGCATGGAATATGGATCAAGTGCTTGGGCCCTTACACTCATATGAGAGACTGTGAAGAAGCTCCCGGCTCCGGACTTTGGAACAGCCCAGCTCCAACCATTATGACCATTTGAGGACTAGAACAGCAGATGGAAGTTACATCTATATCTCTTTCTCTGTAACTTCCTTTTAAATAAATAAATAAGTAAATCTTTAAAAAAAGAAAAAAAAGGGGGGGTGTCCGACACAAAGACCTCATGGCTAGATCCTCACCCTGTATGCTCTGGGATATGGGCACCAGTTCAGGTCCCATATGGGCACCAGTTCAGGTCCCGGCTATTCCACTTCCCTTCTGGTTTCCTGCTTGTGGCCTAGGAAAGCGATGGAAGATGGCTCAGAACCTTGGGGCCCTATACTTGTGTGAAAGACCCACAAGAAGCTCCTAACTCCTGGTTTTGTGCTGGCTCAGCTTCAGCTGTAATGGCCATTTGGAGAGTGAACCAGTGGATGGAAGATCTTTCTGTCTCTCCCTCTCTCTGTAAATCTGCCATTCCAATAATGAATAAATAAATAATTTTTAAATTTATGCTAATCCACCTTAATTCTCAGAGTTAGCTATCTTCTGCATAGACCAAACAGGTGAGCTGCCTGTAGGTGTAGGAAACATCACTCCTGCTTCATTCAGTAACTTATGAGGGGTATTCATCCCTCAGATCCTCCATAAATGCAACAGCGCCCTGGGTTTATATCATGTTGGATGGAAGTGGTTATGACTTCCTTATTGCCTTTAACAACATCACAGCTTCCAGTTCACAAGTCAGTCAACCACTGAGGAGATTATACCAATTGCTGCATATTTCTCTTGTACTTTCATATTCTGGATACGAAGAGATAACCAAAAGTTGACATGGATCCTCTATGGCCTCTGTGCATTGGACTGAAACCATGTTGATCATCTCCATAAACTCCTCCTCAGACTGGTGTTATACAGGGATTACTGGGTCTTCAGGGATTTCTATCTATTCATTACCAGCACCCAGTAGTCAACAAAACAAACCATGGCTACTGCTCAATTTTTTTCTCTCACGACCATTCTGGAGGATGATTACATGTGGCTTCGGACACGGCAAAGAGAAAGAGAAGCAGGACACATGTTGGCAAGAGCATCCAATCTTCTCCAACCAAGGAGCCCTGGGTCAGTAATCTGGTTCATGTCTAGAATCTATTTGAGATGCCTTGTGATATTCAAGACTTACATTACAGCATTTATGCTTTTACAAATAAAACTTCACAAGTCTCCCTATGAAGACATTGTGATCAATTGCCAAAGTCAGAGACCTCTATGTGTCTAGTTATTTTTATTTCTCCCGCGTCTCTTACACCCATTACCGTAACCAAGCCCATCTTATCTCAGGCACCCTGTCTTCTCTCCTTTACCACAAAATCCCATCATCACCTTGGGATTCAGAGAGCCCAGCTCAATGGCAGCAATTCCCACACCCATTCTGGGCCTGGAGTAAATTCCTACCTGCAGTCTTTGAGGCTGTCATTACTCCTCCCAGCACACACTTATGGGCAAGTAAGCCAGTCTTACATAACAAATTCATCTTCCTCTAAACTACATTAAAGATCCAGCATCTCAATTTAAAGAGCATTGGCCATAACAGGGAGGGTAAAAGGGGAAATCACTGAGCCTATGGAACTGTATCATGAAAAAAAAAAAAGCACAGGCCGCTGTTGGGTCCATACTGCAATCTAAACAAGCAGTCAAGTAATGTGGACCACTTCAGTCTGCTAGAGCTACAAAGCCAGGCTGACCAATAATATTTTCCTTCTATCCTATCACATCATACTGGAAATCTAATCTCAATTGTGTTGTTATTGATATAAATTAGCTAAAATCTCATTGCATAGATGTGCATTACAGTTCTGTATGGATTGAGCCACATGGCTCAATTGGCTAATCCTCAACCTTCTTCCCTGGGATCCCATATAGGCTCTGGTTCCTTTCCCAGCTGCTCCACTTTCCATCCAGCTCCATGCTTATGGCCTGTGAAGCAACAGAAGATGACCCAAAGCCTTGGGATCTGCACCCACATGGGAGACCTGGAATAAGCTCCTGGCTCCTGGCTTCAGATCAGCTCACCTTAAGCCATTGCAGACATCTGGGAAATAAACCAGCAGAGGGAAGATCTTTGTCTCATCTTTTCTCTATAAATCTGCCTTTCCAGTAAAAATTTTTAAAAGTTTAAAAAAAAATGATTTTGTGGGCCCGGCGCGGTGGCGCAAGTGGTTAAGGTCCTCACCTTGCACGCCCGGGATCCCATATGGGCGCCGGTTCTAATCCCGGCAGCCCCGCTTCCCTTCCAGCTCCCTGCCTGTGGCCCCGGAAAGCAGTTGAGGACGGCCCAAAGCTTTGGGACCCTGCACCCGCGTGGGAGACCCGGAAGAGGCTCCTGGCTTCCGATCGGCATAGTATCGGCCCGTGGCGCTCACTTGGGGAGTGAATCATTGGACGGAAGATCTTCCTCTCTGTCTCTCCTCTCTGTATATCCGCCTTTTCAATAAAAAAAATAATAATAATAAATAAATCTAAAAAAAATGACTTTGTGTGGATCACACTTACTTCTGGAACCTACTGGCATTTGTATCTACAAGAGACAAGAAGATAATTGCAAATGAGCCCTTCCCCTGGATATACTCCTCCTCACCTGGGACTTGGGGTATCATGTAACCACTCTCCTTTTACAGTGTCATAAGAAGCCAGACAATGAGGAAGGGTTCTCTCTCTCTCTTTCTCTCTCCCCCTCCATGGACTCAAGATGAAAATAGAAGCATCTCTCCCACCTTTCCCCTCCTTGCCCATTCTATCCCTGAATATGGCTCACAGGTGTCCAGAATTTCCTCACCTTTTAAATAAACTTTACCCCTCAAAAAAATTAAAAACAAAAAAGCTATAACACATTGTTAAGTGATTCAAATTCTCCCAATCTCAATTGTTTCATCAGTAAGATGTCAGTAATATAATGCCTCTCAGGGTTGATGTAGAAAGAATGAAAGTACAGACCTGAAATACAGCATATGTCATTTTTACCTGATACTTGGTATTTAACTTCTTCACAAGGGGAATGAATCCCGTAGTTAATGATAGGGTACTATGTAACCAGACACTCTCTCCTTCCTTGGCAGCACATAAAGCAGAGAATCTAGAGTAACACTTGAACAACGACAACAACACTGTAAGTACCATCTCATTCTCAATGCAAATGTGACTTTCAATACGCAAGTGAAAAACCCCAGGGTTGGCTCGCTAGCTAATCCTCCACCTCCAAACTTAGGCACCCCAAATGGGCTCCTGTCCATGTCCCAGATGCTCCACTTCCCATCGAGGGAGGGAGTGAGGGAGGGAGGGAAAGAAGGAACGAAGGAAGGAAAAGAAAGATAAGCCCCAACCTCCCTGGAGAACATAAAAGTTTTCTTTTATAAATTTCATTTCTTCATTTATTGGAGTAATCATCACCCTACCTCCCTTATTACTCAGAGTAAATGAATAAAAACAGTGTGATTTTCAGAATCTGACAACCTGAACTTTGGGCTTTGCCACTACATGACTTTCTCAGTTCCCATCGAGTGCTCCATGACTGCATAACAGCATTTACCCAAAAGGGCAGTCAATAAAAATTGATCAAATAATGCCTATAAAATCTTTTTTTTTTTTTAAGATTTATTGATTGGGCCCGGTGTGGTTGCCTAGTGGTTGAAGTCCTGGCCTTGAATGCGCCGGGATCCCATATGGGCCCCGCTTCCCATCCAACTCCCTACTCATGGCCTGGGAAAGCAGTTAAGGATGGCCCAAAGCCTTGGGACCCTGCATCCGTGTGGGAGACCTGGAGGAGGTTCCTGGCTCCTGGCTTCGGATCAAAGCAGCACCAGCCGTTGTAGTAACTTGAGGAGTGAATCATTGGATGGAAGATCTTCTTTGTCTCTCCTCTTTATATATATATCTGACTTTGCAATAAAATAAATAAATCTTTTAAATTTTTATTTATTTTTATTAGAAAGACAGGTATACAGAGAGGAGAGACAGAGAGGAAAATCTTCCATCTGATGATTCACTCCCCAAGCAGCCGGAAACGGCTGGAGCTGAGCCAATCCAAAGTCCAGAGCTTCTTCACACAGGTGCAGGGTCCCAAAGCTTTGGGCCATCCTCTACTGTTTTCCCAGACCACATGCAAGGAGCTGGATGAGAAGTGGGGCCGCTGGGATTAGAACCAGCACCCATATGGGATTTCAGAGCACTCAAAGTGAGGACCTTAGCTGCTAGGCCATCATGCCGGGCCTGCTTATAAAATCTTATCCGTGAAAGAGCAATTGTAGATTTTCAGTAAATTCTCCCTTTTCCCTTCCTTCTGTCAATACCACATTCTGTTCATTATTTGGATTGAAGAAACGGCTGGTTTCCTTTGCCAACAGAGGCTACGGTCTGCAGGCTAAATCGTCTGCTATCAGTTTCAGAAACACAATGTTCCTGAAATACAGTCATACTCATTTGTTTTCATGATCTCTGTGGCCACTTTGCACTACGGCAAAGTAGTTAAGTCGCCCAATACAGTCTGGTCCTCAAAGCAGGAGATGTTACCAGCTCAACGACAGTAAAACTTGCTGATCCCTGTTTGAGATTCCCACAGGGCCTGAAGCTGTCCTCTCCAGTTGTTGAGCTTTCCAGCCCCCACATCCAAGGCTGCTTTGGGTGAGAAAGGTGTATGCCTCACCCAGCAGCCAGGTCTCCCAGGATCTGATTGCAGCTCAGCACAAGAATAATTGGAGGACCGCTAGCCCAGCGTGAAAAACAACAGCATAACGTGGTAGACTGTGGCTTTCAGCCCTCCCCCTTTCATCTGCTTCTTGGGTTATAAAGCAAGGGTGGGGAAATAGGGACGGTAGTAGCTTGCCAGGCACAGCATCGCTGGGGAAATGCAGGCTCTGCTGTTGCTGCTCTTTCTCTTGCCTCCTGAAGCTAAAGCTGGTGAGTGCTGGGGTGAACTCCCCGTCCCGTGATCCTCAGCTGCCATTCCAAACACATTGACCTGCCTCCGAGAGGACCCTCAAACGAGGCTGCTGGCTGTCCTTGCAGGTGTTCCCAGGGAAGTCTGAACCTGGGAGGAACACGTTGTTCCCCACAGGTGATGACACTTTCCCTCAGGTGAAAAAAGTCCTGCGTGGAGAAAGAAGTGGGAAGTTGGTTTTGGAAGGCCCATTTAACCTGCTTTCTTCTACACACCCACTATTGCGATTTAAGGCCCTTCTCTGGCCTCCCCGCTGTGTGGAGGAAGTCAGCAGGAGGACATTAAAACTGTCCTAGTGAAATAACAGCCTGGAATTGGGATGGACTGTTGTGTTCTGACACGGAAGATGCAGCTTGGCAGGGTGGGTTAGGATAGGGAAAGCCTAAAAGTGGGGATGCATGTAGGGACTGAGATCCCAAAAGAAGTAAGGAGGGCCAGGGAGAGACCCCCCAGCTTTGGCCTCCAGCCCCCCTGCACAGTGCTCTGTTGAAAGGCTCCATGTTTGGGGGCTCAGCATTCTCTCTTCCAGAGGAGATTATTGGGGGCACTGAGTGCAAGCCACACTCCCGCCCTTACATGGCCCATCTAAAAATCATCAACAACCGAGGCTTGCTCGACAGCTGTGGAGGGTTTCTCATAAGTCAAGATTTTGTGCTGACAGCTGCTCATTGTCAAGGAAGGTAAGAAACCTTTGCATTTGTTTCCCTTTTTATGTAAAGAACTTGTCTGAGCTAAAGCTACTCCCAACTCTGGTGTGGCCAGCCTGTCTCTAGCTGGTCAGTGATGTGCATTGAGAGGACCTGGGCCACTGTGTTCATCCTCTCCCTCCCCAGTGGACAGAGCTGGGAGAGGAGGCTCAGATCAAGGAGAGTCCATCCCTCTTCCACTGGCCAGCAGAGTTCTCTCCATCCCAGGTGGCTGCTAGGGCCTCTTGCTTCCTGCAGCAGCTGGGGTCCCTGAGGAAGCTCTCAGCCCTCACAGGACCTCATCCCAGGAACAGGAGGTGATACTCTTGTGTCCTTCCCCCACTGCATGGGTCCTGCTCAGGAGACTAGCACCTGCCCCTGCCTCTCCCCCCATCCCCAGACACATCACTGTCACTCTTGGAGCTCATGACATGAAGCAGGAGGAATCTACATGGCAGCATATAGACGTTGCCGAACAGTTCATCCACCCCTGTTACAACGCTCACACCCAGCTTAATGACATCATGTTACTGAAGGTACCACCATCCATCACACATTTTTCAACTCCCCCTGCCCGTACCTTTCACTCTCTCTCTTCCAACCCATTTTCCCTCACCCTTCCTTCCCACCATCCCACTGGGGAGAGACTGCTGGCCTGCCCAGGGATCCTCTATTAGACTCTACTCACACACACACACTCCAGCCTGGGGCTGGTCATCCTTCCACTCTCTCTGTCTCTCTGTCCACAGTTACAAAGGCATGCCCAGCTGACCGATGCTGTGGGAACAGTTCCCCTGCCTTCCTGGAGAACCTTTGTTCAAACTGGAAGAATGTGCTGGACAGCTGGCTGGGGAAAAACAGGACCAACAGAGCCAATGTCCAATACCCTGAGGGAAGTGAAGCTGAGAGTCATGGACAGCGAGGCCTGCCACTATTTCTACTCTTACAGCCACAAACTTCAAATGTGTGTGGGAAATCCCAAGGCCAAAAGATCCGCATATAAGGTGACCAACAGCTTTACACAGAGACCTGGCACCCTTGGGAAGAGGGAGAGGTCAAGACGTGTCCTATCACCGGGACCAGTGTCTGGGTGTGCTCCTAGGGTCGTGGACACTGGCATCCTCGTGGATTCTGGGATCCAACAGCCAAGCTCCACCTTTAAGCTCTTTACACAGCCTGCATAGAGGGTTCCAGAAGAAAAAGGAAGAAGGGAAGAGGGGCAGGATCTACAGCTGTTGATCCAGATTTGGGATGAGGGGAAGGTGAAGGGAGAACATTCAGTAAATCTTTAACTTAGAACTACTTGACAAACCAGGTGTCCCTACCTGCCTTTAAGTTTCTTTGTGCCAATTTGGGTGGAATAGAACCAGGGTGGGGAATATTTAGGATGGAAGGGCAATCTTGGCTCATTATTGACTTTCTCTAATCCACAGGGAGATTCTGGGGGCCCCCTCTTGTGTGCAGGGGTGGCCCAAGGGATTGTGTCTTATGCAACTAGAGATGCGCAGCCACCTGTGGTCTTCACCCGACTCTCCTCATATGTGCCCTGGATTCACAAACTACTGAAGGATAACTAGCTTTCAGAGCCTGGCTGGCATGGGGAGGGGTCTGTGGGACAGGACTTTCTGGGCATACTCTCTGGGATTCATGGGCCCTGGAGCAGCCCGAGCCCAGCAAGTTTCTCAGAGACACCCTGTCTTCCAATGGTGGTTCAAGCCTGTGTGGAATCCCTTCTGTGCTCGCTTCTCCAGAGCCAGTCTACGCCTCTCATCCAATTCTCCTCATTTAATGAAGATCACATTGGGGCTCCTTTCAGCCAGATGAATAATCAAGTCTCCAGTTGGCCTGTGTGCTATGTGATATGGATTATTCACGAAAATACTTGGGATGTAACATTCAGACTAGACTAGAAGTGGCACCATGGGGTAAGCCTCTGCCTGCAATGCCAATATCTCATATGAGTGCCAGTTCTGAATCAGCTCCATGCTACTGGTAGAAAAGCAGCTAAAGATAGTCCAAGTACATGAGCCCTTGCCACACACATAGGAGACTTGAATGAAGTTTCAGGCTCCTGGCTTTAGCCTGGCTTAACCCTGATCAATGGCAGCTAATTGGGAGTGAATGGATATCTCTCTCTATATATATGTGTGTGTGTGTGTGTGTGTGTGTGTGTGTGTGTGTATTTCTCTCTCTGTGTAACTCTGCCTTTCAAATAAATTAAATAAACCATTTTTTAAATACAGAGTAATATTGGCATGGATTTGCTCCTCTTCCTCCTCCCACAATCCCTGAGACCCAGTGGTTTGTGCCCCAAACAAACTTCCCAATTGTGGAAACTTCACAATTGTTTCCACAACGGGTCAAGGAGAGGAATCCCAAACTTTAGTGTAAGCCTGGCCCAGGATTACATCAGAGCCACAGGAAATCTTGAGTTAGGTCAAGGTCTGCAAAGCTGGCTCCTGTCCATGAACATCAGCATCCTGAATCCCAAAACTGCCAGTGCCTGCATGGGATCACTGCCCTCACTGCCATACATCCTGGTACCAGGGAAATGGAGCATGGACTCCAGGTAGCTCTCTGGAGCCTACCACTAAGCCAACCCTCACAGGTGCCAAGGAGGTCACTAGGAGGCCCAAGAACACAGGCCCGTCCCCGTGTCCTTTCCACCATGAGCAATCACTGCTCCTCCTGGCCCGAGGCAGTGACCCAGCAACTCCACCTTCCCCATTGCCTGCCAAGCCCACACATCTAGGATCCTGGCTTTGACACTGACCAAGGAAAGCTTCACCTACAAGACATCTCATCTTTCTGACTCTGTTAGAAAGACAAGCATGTACACAGCAAAACAAAGACTAAAACCATCTTAAAACTAGAAAAGCTTACGTTGAGCAGGATATTAAAAGCCTGATTTCTTTTTCTTAATTCTAGCTTTAAATTTACACAGTGAAATAGAGACTGTGAAATGGGAAGCACGGAGAGCACAGATCTGGACACACAAGGAGCTGCTGCTAAGGTTCTGTTCCCTCTTTACCCTGCACCCTAAGGACAGTGCACACATGTAAAAGTCTCTCTTCCCAAGCTGCTGGGCAGCTGGGCTTGTGGGAAAGACCATTGGCCCACCTGAACTGTCTGACCCACAGTAAGTAGTAGGTGATGCTGATGGCCAAGAACTGGGCTAAGCCTGCAGGCTGAGTCGGAATCCAAGTGCTTCCAGCATAGCCGCCACTGCAGACAGAGCAGCCTCATGTGGGGTCCTGATGGTGGCCAGCCACCCTATTACAGACAACAACTTTAGAGTAGGCACTGGACTCAGTTGCTAAAGGGTCACTTGGGACCCCCACATCCCTTATGGGAGTGCCTGTGTTGCTTTTTATCTGCAAATTTTGAAATGATTTCTGTAACTTGTTTAATACTGGAAACTGATTTTATAAATCATGTTATGGTAAAAGAGTCTTTAGTAACTTAAGACAATGAGGCACAGCTAAAAGCATACAGTAGCACAATTGAGCCTGTATTGTTCCCAATGTCTTATTGTGTGCCCACTTTTGACCCGGAACTTACTCTAAGATGCATGATGTTCTCCATCACAAATGGCTTGATAATATCTTGGAACAGATGGCAATCATGGAGATACAAAGCGTTTGTTTACTGTGCAGCCTTGAACTGTTACAACACATGAAATGACGCATTTTGGTTTCTCACCATGGAAAACAGAAAGTATATGGGGCATCTTCTAAAGGGAGACAAATGTGAATCCCCAAAGAAAAATGGTTTAAAACTTCTACCTTATATTGTCACTTATATTTAGGGAAAGAAAACAGTTTAAAAAGATAAAAAGAAGTTTCTTGTAAAGGCCCTCTGTTTGTAGAAAGGCTGAGTTGCCCTGATCCTTTTCACTGCCCTTTAACAAAAGAACAAAAAAACAATTGAATCAGTACTAGGTGAAGGTGATGGTAATTAGTATATGACTGATTATAAGATTTAATTAAAAATCTATGATATATGCCTTTATAAATTCCTTTCATTTATGAGCTTTCTTTTTAATTTTGCATTCTTGATATTTTAAGTAATATTAGTTCAGGTTTAGTGGAAATTGATTTTGGATATAAGTAAGCCAGTTGTCACTATATAACTTCATGTGCTGCCAACCGTGGAGTTCCTGGCTTCAGCCGGGTAACTGCAGGTTTGAATGAGTAATGGTTTGCTGAAAATGTTTTCTTTAAAGCAAAATAATAATGTTTTGTAGAAGTGTTTTTGTAAACATTCTTTTAACCATAAAGTAAAAATGAAACAATTGGATGTTGTGCAAAAGCTTGTGACGATTTCTGTAAAAATAAAGAAGGCAGCTTTTTTGAGTTGTCCGTTATGAGTATCACGCTGTAGTGGTCAATGTTTGTTCTTATCTTCTCACTGATCCATGCGTCCTTTGCAAGCTCTCAAGTCAGCCAGAGCTGGTTTCTGATCATTTATTTTTACTTGAAAGGCAAATTTTATGGAAAGAGAAGGATAGCAAGAGATCCTCCACCCACTAGTCCATTCCTCAAATGGCCAAAATAGGGCCATTCTCAGCTGCTATTTCAACGCCCCAAGCAGGGAGCTGGATCGGAAGTGGAGCAGTTGGGACACAAATCCGTGCCAAAATGGGATTCAGGCCCCACAGGCAGAGGATTAGTCCCTAAGCCACGGTCCTGGCCCCAACTCTCTTCTTTCTTGTACAGCCCAGAGGACTGTCCAAGATGTTTACTGGCTTCGACAACATTTTGAAGAGGAAGGAAAGCAAGGTTGGTGCCATGGTTAGGCCTAGGCCTCTGCCTACAATACCCACATCCCATATGGGCACTGTTTCTAGTCCTGGCCACTCAACTTCCCATCTAGCTCCCTGCTTATGGCTTGGGAAAGCAAGGGAGGATGACCCTGAGCCTTGGGCCCCTACACCCATGTGAGGAGACCTGAAAGAAGCCCCTGGCTCTTGTTTTCCGACTGGCTCAGCTCCAGCTATTGCAACCGTTTGAGAAATAAAAAAATAAAAGGAAGATTTCTCTCTGTGTCTCTATCCCTGTAATTTTGCCTTTTAAATACAAATAAATAGAGTCCAGCACGATGGCTCAATGGCTAAATCCTCACCTTGTAAGCCCCAGGATCTCATATGGGTGCTAGTTCGTGTTCCAGATGTTCCACTTCCAATCCAGCTCCCTGTTTATGCCCTAGGAAAGCAGTAGAGGACAGCACAAAACTTTGGGACCCTGCACCCAGGTGGGAGATGTGGAAAAAACCCCTGGCTCCCGGCTTCAAGTCAGCACAGCTCCAGCCATTGCAGCCAGATATGAAATGAAAGACATTTCTTTCTGTAACTCTGCCTTTCCAATAAAAATTTTTAAATCTTTATATATGTATATATATATATGTAAATATATATGTAAATCTTTTTTTTAAAGAGAAAAAGTTACCCAGCAAGTTACCTGGGCAGCTTCTTACACTTGTTAATGTGTAAATTATTTTTAAGAGGTAAAATCACTAGCTGCTTCTTTTTCCATATAACAAGGAAACTTTAGGATATTTGTATTATAGGAAGATTGGCCTATTAACAGTTAACATTCCGTGTGGAAAGGTGGTTTTGTGTCCTATTATGCAAATCAGTACAAATGAAGTCACAGTTACACACTCACTGTCACTTGAACATAGAAATCACCTCAAGTCCTGTGTGGGAGATGTGTTTCCTATTGCTTCTGAAAGCTTTGGCTGTCCCTGTCAGAAGCAAGAGGCCCTCTGTAACAGCTTGCAAGTAGAAATCCAGTTTTCCTAGTAATTTTGTTGTTGTGCTGTGAAAGATTGACCATTGCATTTGATATTAAACCGTGAACTGGGGAGACACAGCAAAGGCTTAGCAGCATTCAATATTTAATATCCTCTTAAGGAAAATCTACCTTATGTGTTAAGCTTGCAAAGTCTCTGGAATCGTTGCTTAAAAAATCACAAGGCAGAATTTTTAGGGTTTTCAGCGTGTATGTAAAAGATCATGTCAACACTAAAACGTCTGTGTTCTGGTCCTCTGAGCAATTACAAACATCTCAGTGATGGGGAAAAGAGGAACGAGCTTTGACCACACTCTCGGGAAAAGGGCCTCAAAACAGCTGAGGCAACACGTGGGGCACAAGAGCCAGTGCCTACTGAGCTTCTCACAGCTACCAAGGCCCAGACCAAGAAGCAACAGGAAAATGTCAGCTCCAACCCTGGGGACTGTCTCTCCTGCACCTCAGATCTCCCAGCAATGTTCTCCCTCACATAGAGGACCTAAGCAGCAAGTTACCTGGGCAGCTTCATGGGTGACAATATTACATCACCCCCACACACACACACACAAAATACATTGAAGTCACAACTTCCAGTGCCTCCGAATGTGAGCCGGTTCAGAAGTAGGATTATTATACAAGTGATCAGATAAAATGTGGCCAACCTGGAGTAGCACTAAATGCACTGCCCCCCTACAGGGTGTGCTCCTCCTAGGCTGAGTCCCATGGGCCTCTCCTGCCTCCACTAGATCCAGGCCCTAGACCAGCACATTTGTGAGTCATTGTGG